CTCCATAAATTTTCTTCATTTCTCTCTGTCTATATCTTCATTTTGATTCACTTTATGTACACCCAATTTTGAATTCAAGAATGGGAAGGAAACCATGTTGTCAAAATGTAGGTTTAAAGAAGGGAGCATGGACCGCCGAAGAAGACAATAAGCTCAAAGACTTCATTCTCACAAATGGCAATTGTTGCTGGAAAGCTCTCCCTAAACTTGCAGGTCCCTACAAATTTCCATTATGCATTATCACACTGTGTCCGTTTCGTCATGGTGGTGGTGGTGGCGGTGGCGGTGGCGGGTGGAACTACAGAAGGCCTTTTTTGGCCTACATCATTTAAAAGTTTAAGTTATTAGAGAAGAAACAGCCTGATGGTCTGTTTTTGAGAGGAGGAGAGGCGTCAAATCTCGTGTTGAAATTGCTTTCTAGACATTTAATTTAAATAATATCCAGTTTTATGAATCTTAAGAGTTGTGTACATGTTTATAGTCTCTTATCCTCTGACAATAGAAAATCTTTAAGCTATTTCTTGTTTTCAAGAAATCAATTTTATATTATTAATATGTTTTGATAACATTGCAGGACTATTAAGGTGTGGAAAAAGCTGCAGATTGAGATGGACAAATTATCTTAGACCAGATTTGAAGAGGGGATTTCTATCTGAAGATGAAGAGAAGATAGTTATTGACCTTCATGCTAAGCTTGGAAACAGGTCTAATTTATTTATTATTTTTTTGTATAATTCTTGACCTTAGATGAAAGTAGAAAATGGAAGTAAATTGCATTTTTGTTGTCCTAAACAATGTAGTTCAGTGCTGCGGACCACATAAATTTGACATTTTTAGTGATGTTTTGTAGATGGTCCAAGATTGCTTCTCATCTCCCTGGAAGAACTGATAATGAAATAAAAAATCACTGGAACACGCGCATCAAGAAAAAGCTGAGGAACATGGGAATTGATCCTATGTCCCGCAACCCCCTGCCGCCTCCATCGCCGCCGCATGAACATACAGAAAATCCTGTGGCGGAACAAGAACCACCATCAGACGCGGTGATTCAAAACAAAGACACTGAGATCACAGTGCTATCCACCATTACAGAGGGCAGAGATGAAGACAGAAACATGGCTTCAAGCCCATTAATGGAGGTTAGCAATGAGTTCGGAGTAGATGAAGTCCCGTTAATTGAACCCCATGAAAATTTTCGTTC